GTCTCTGCTTAAGGGTATTTTATTTTTTTATGTTTATTTTTTTTTATTTTTTTATTTTTTTATTTTTATTTTTATTTTATTGTTTTTATTATTGTTCTCCTTTTTTATTCTTTTACTTTGTTTTGTACCTTATGCCTTTGCTTCTTTTGTTTGTTTTTGTTCTTTTTGTTTATTGTATTTATTTATTTTATTTATTTTATTGATTAATTAATTAATTTATTTATTTGCTGATGTATTCGTTTATATGTGTAATTTGTTTATTTATTTATCCACTCATTCTTTTATACATTTATGCGTTTATTTATTTATTTATTTATTTACTTATTTATCACTCATTTACTACTATTTATTTATTTATTTATTTATTTATTTATTTACTTATTTGTTTATCTATATGTATTTATATTTATGTATTTATTTATATTTATATATTTGTATATTTATATGTTTATATGTTTATTTATATTTATTTATATTTATATTTGTTTATATTTATATATTTATATTCATTTATATTTATATTCATTTATATTCATTTATATTTATTTATATTTATTTATATTTATTTATATTTATTTATATTTATTTATATTTATTTATATTTATTCATATTTATTTATATTTATATTTATATTTATTTATACTTATTTATATTTATTTGTATTTATATATTTATACTTATATTTATTTATATTTATTTATATTTATTTATATTTATTTATATTTATTTATATTTATTTATATTTATACAAACAGGCAAACTGAAGGAGTCGGTGTACCCCTACCAGGCGGAGGGCCGCCAGCAGACGGCAGCAGGGACGGCTCCATCAACCAAACAAATACAACAGGTTTGTTTTTTTTTTATTTATTTTTTTTTATTTTTTTGTTTTTGTTTTTATGTTTCTTTCTATTCTTCTTTCTCTTTTTCTTTTTTTTTCTTTTTTTCTTTTTTTTTCTGTTTTTGTTTTCTTGTTTTTCGCGTTGTTACTTTTTTTTTGTTTTTTCTCGTCTTCTTTCTCCTCTTCTTTTTCTTTTTTTAATATAATATAATACAATATAATATAATACAATATAATATAATATAATATAATATAATATAATATAATATAATATAATATAATAT